ACTCTGGGGTGGGGAGTCCTGAGATACAGAGATACAGCTAAGAGCATGCGCAGAGCAGCTGGGGAGGTCTGGAGATGGCCCGGGAGCCACCTCCAACTCCCTTCTCTTCCTCATTCTCTTTGCCATCTCCAAAGAGAGGCGAAGTGACATGGCCCATCATCCCACCTTCCGGAAAATCTACTGTGATGCTGTTCCTTACCTGTTCAAGAAGGTGAGGCTCAGCCCTTGGGTGCTTTTCCCCTGGGCCATGGGTGCATTCCAGGCCTGAGGGACCTGGCTCTTCCCTGGGACTCTCTCTTTTCCTCCTGAGGCCTGCTCCCCTCATCCTTCCCCCTGGCCTGCCCAGGGAGTCTTCAGCTGTCCCATTCCTTTAAGGTACGAGCTGTCTACACAGAAGGTGGTTGGTTTGAGGAAGGGATGAAGCTGGAGGCCATTGACCCTTTGAATCTGGGCAACATCTGCGTGGCAACTGTCTGTAAGGTGAGCCAGGGCTGGCCCTCCAGCCTCCAGATTTCTTAGGGGACCCATGTGGCCCAGAGCTCTAACCCTGCTTAACACTGTCAGGAGCTCTCTGCCCCACCCTCTCTTCACTGGCTGTGCCCAAAGTCCCTGACTTGTAGGTGGGGTCTTACCTGCCCCTTGCCCAGAATCTGGTTTCATGTCAGGGTCCAAGTCTCACTGGACAAGTGCTTACTGAACACCTGAGCCTGGTCCTGTGTCAGGGTAGGCCCTTCCCTGTCACCTCACTAGGGCCTTCTTGCCATATGCCATCTCCTTTGAGCCACAGCTGGGGTCACCTTGCTCTAAACCTCCTTATCGCCTCAGTCTGAGCAGGCCCCCCACACCTGCTTGGTCCTCCTGGAGGAGGCTGCTGGCTCGTCCACACTGGGGATCGGCTCTATGCCAGGCATGTGTGCTCACCCCTGAGAACACGGTCCAGCAAGACGGACATGGCCCCTGCTGGCATGGTGTTTGCTGTCTAGTGAGAAAGAGAAAGAATCCCACGGGTATGCATCACAGAAATGCTGTGTGCTCCAGAGAGGCTCAGGCGTGTCCTCCAGGAGGGCTATATCCTAGATCTCTTTGGATCCATCTGCCTCGTGTCCCTGTTGGAGTGTGGTCCCAACCCAGGATGGGGTGCAGTTCATGACATGATCTGTGTGCCCACTCCCCTGCCCTCCAGGTTCTTCTGGATGGATACCTGATGATCTGTGTGGATGGGGGGCCCTCCACAGATGGCTCAGACTGGTTCTGCTACCACGCCTCTTCCCACGCCATCTTCCCAGCCAACTTCTGTCAGAAGAATGACATTGAGCTCACACCCCCTAAAGGTAAGACTAGAGAGGCCACCCCCTGCTGGTCTTGCCATCAGAAGGGCAGGGGGTGGCCGGACGCGGTGGCTCACGCCTGTAATCCCAGCACTTTGAGAGGCCGAGGCAGGCAGATGGCCTGAGGTCAGGAGTTCGAAACCAGCCTGGCCAACATAGCTAAACCCTGTCTGCTAAAAATACAAAAAATTAGGCTGGGCGCAGTGGCTTATACCTGTAATCCCAGCACTTTGGGAGGCTGAGACGGGTGGATCACGAGGTCAAGAGATCGAGACCATCCTGGTTAATGTGGTGAAACCCCGTCTCTACTAAAAATACAAAAAATTAGCTGGGCACAGTGGCGCATGCCTGTAATCCCAGCTACTCAGGAGGCTGAGGCAGGAGAATTGCCTGAACCCAGGAGGCGGAGGTTGCGGTGAGCCGAGATGGCGCCATTGCACTCCAGCCTGGGCAACAAGAGCGAAACTCCGTCTCAAAAATAAATAAATAAATGAAATAAAAATACAAAAAATTAGCCAGTCATGGTGGCCAGCACCTGTAATCGCAGCCACTCAGGAGGCTAAGGCAGAATGGCTTGAACCCAGGAGGTGGATGTTGCAGTGAGCCGAGATCATGCCATTGCACTCTAGCCTGGGCAACAGAGTGAGACTCTGTCTCAAAAGCAAAACAAAACAGAAGGGGCAGGGTGTGGCCACAGGCTCAGAGTTCTGGTCAAGTCAGGCCCCAGAAGTGTAGCATTTCAGGGTGTATGGGAAAGGTGACAGATCCCACTACCAGCCCTTAACTGCTGGGCCGACCCTGCCCCATGGCCAGCGTATGGTTGATGAACAGATCTCCCACTTACCCATTGGGCAGTGAACAACCTATTCAACAGGACTGTGGTGCTAGAGCAGGTACCAGCCTTGAAGGGATGAGAAAGTGGCTGCTGGGGAGACTCCACGCTGGGTCCTGACCAAGCTGCAGAGCTCCTTCAGCCCCGTGTCCTTTTCCTCTTCCCGCTTCCTGCTTCCCCCGCTCTCCCTCTGCATCTGAGCTTTCTGCTCCTCCAGGTTATGAGGCACAGACTTTCCACTGGGAGAACTACTTGGAGAAGACCAAGTCAAAACCTGCTCCATCAAGACTCTTCAACATGGTGAGGAGACAAGCGGAGCAAGTGGCCTGCAGTGGCCTCAGGACAGGCCCTGCCTGCTGCTGTCAGTGGTAGCAGTTCCTACTCTTCCTCTCGAGTCTCTACTGCTGACATCAGCCACTTTCAGGGGGAAGTCCCCAGCTATGGCCTAGGCACTCCCATCCCTCTTCCATGCAGGGGCCGTGTCGGGAAAGAGGAACCTGCCCCAGCAGGCATTCCAGTGCCAGGCCCCTCCCCACCAGTTCTGCAAGTGCCTGGGTGAATCTTCTGGGGCAGGGAGCTGACTGGCTTGGCCACTGCCCCCTTTTTCTACCCCAGGATTGCCCAAACCATGGCTTCAAGGTGGGCATGAAGCTGGAGGCCGTGGACCTGATGGAGCCCCGGCTCATCTGTGTGGCCACGGTGAAACGGGTGGTGCATCGGCTCCTCAGCATCCACTTTGATGGCTGGGACAGCGAGTATGACCAGTGGGTGGACTGTGAGTCCCCGGACATCTACCCCGTTGGCTGGTGTGAGCTCACCGGCTACCAGCTCCAGCCTCCTGTGGCTGCAGGTCTGGGCTCTTGTGGCCCTAAGTGGCTCTGACTTTGTTTCCTCCTCTTTTTTCCTTCCTTCCCCCGCCCCATGCCCATCTCAGTTCTTTGGCATGAGATGGAGATGTCTTCTGGACCGCTCTGAGTAGCGAGCCCCGTCTCCCAGCCCCTGCTCCCAACATCTCTTTCTCCCTCTCCCTCTGGCCTATAGAGCTCTTTCCTTCATCTTGCCCACTCTGTTATATGCTCGTGCCCTTGTGCATCCAGGTGAACTACCCAGGTCCCTCTGAGCAGCCCTGGTGACAAGGGTGGGAAGAAGGGACAGCTGTTCTCCAGCCATTCCCCCAGCCCCACCCTCTCCTCATTGCCCAGCTTTAGCTACCTGTCTTAGGGTGTCCCATGTGGGAGGGTGGATAGGGTCTCAGGATGCGCCTGCGCCCTGTGTACTCCTAGGGACCCTGTTCTCATCTCTTTCACCCTTGTCTTTCAACAGCAGAACCGGCCACACCTCTGAAGGCCAAAGAGGCCACAAAGAAGAAAAAGAAACAGTTTGGGAAGAAAAGTAAGTGATGCCAGGCCCGGGAGAGATGGGCCTGCGACTCTGGGAGCAGGTGGGGGTCAGTCTCCAGGCACTGGTCCCCAGGTGCTGTCCCACTGACATAGCTCTCTTCATGGTCCTGTCCCATCTCTTTTCCCTTGCTCTTTGGCCTATGGACCCTTCACCCTGTCTCTGAGAACCCAGACCATAAATAGGGAGTGTTCAGTCCCTGGCCATGGTCAGGATGCTGAGGATGAGAGATAGATTGAGGTTGGGGGATCCCATCCCTGCTGCCCCAGGTTCAGAAAAAACAGCCTGCCCTGGGCAAGCCACAGCTGTTAGGTTCTAAAGCAAAAGCCACAGGAAGAAATAGAAGCTGTCTCTCCAAGGTTGTCATTCTTCCCTTGATGCCTCTTTTTTTTTTTAACTTTTTTTTGTTGTTGTTAATCAGAGCTTGTAACGTTGCTTAGGTTGGCCTTGAACTCATGGCCTTGCCTCCTCAAGTGCCAGGACATCTGGCCGGAGCCACTGCACCCACCCCCCACCCCCCGCCCCCACTTGATAGCCTCTTGAGGGTGGGAGAAAGGCAGGCATCTTAGTGGCAGGACTCTACCTGGCACTCGGGCTGTGGATGTCATTTCCCTTGGTGGGGCCTCACTTTCTACAGATTCTGAGCCCAGCTTTGGTTCCACTTGAGTGGCAGAGTGGGAGTAGGCAAAGCCGTCCTTCAGCTGCAGGCAAGGTGGACTCCTTGGTACCATGCGGGGAAGAGGGTGTTCTGAAACAGGAATGAGGTCACTGGGGCAGGATTAAGATTGAGAGAGGTGGCCCGGGCGCGGTGGCTCAAGCCTGTAATCCCAGCACTTTGGGAGGCCACGGTGGGCAGATCACAAGATCAGGAGTTCGAGACCAGCCTGGCCAACATGGTGAAACCATGTCTCTACTAAAGATACAAAAATTAGCTGGGTGTGGTGGTGGACACCAGTAATCCCAGCTGCTTGGGAGGAGAATCGCTTGAACCTAGGAGGCGGAGGTTGCAGTGAGCCGAGATTGCACCACTGCAGCCCAGCCTGGGCGACAGGAGACTCCATCTCAAAAAAAAAAAAAGATTGAAAAAAAGCAGCTACAGGCAGGGTGTAGTAATCCCAGCACTTTGCGAGGCTGAGGCAAGCAGATCACCTGAGGTCAGCAGTTCGAGACCAATCTGCCCAACATGGTGAAACCCCATCTCTTTTTAAAATATATATATTTTTTGATTTAATTAAAAAAAAATAGCTATAACCACCGCTGCCTGGGGCTTGGCTTGCAGGAGGCGGTGGTATTACTGCCCATGGGAGAGAATCTCTCTGAGCTCGGCACACAGCCAGTAAGAGGTGTTTTCAGAGTTGGAGTCCAGGCGTTCTGTCCCCACACTGCCTGACCACGGGGTGAGACCTAGCCCGTAAAGCCTCACCTAGAGACAACCCTAATGCTGGGTTTGAATCCACTTTTATTCAAAGGGAAAAGAATCCCACCGACCAAGACACGGCCCCTCAGACCAGGGTCCAAGAAGCCCCTGCTGGAGGACGACCCTCAGGGCACCAGGAAGATCTCATCGGAGTCCACTCCTGGCGAGAGTAAGAGCCACCGGGCTGGGTCGAGGCAGGACCAGCCTGCTGCTTGCTCAGAGACGGCCCCTCTCCTTCCCCACCTGGGCACAGAAGAGTAGAGTCAGGTTTCTTTAGCATTTTCTGGGCACCAAGCAGTCCTGTACCACTGGGCCCAGAGTGCTTCCCAGGCACCCCCTGAGATGGTGAATGGAGCAGAGTCCCCCTCTAGCCAGGCCCCTGGCCCCTGCTGTTCCTCCGTCTCAACCCCTACCTCTAGTGCTTGGCAGGTTGGTGACAGATTGGTACATGCCAGTGTCTCTGGCATAGCCTGCCTGGCTTGCGGCTTGGCTCTTTGCTGCTGCTGCTGCCCTCCCAGAGGGCAAGCAGGAGGATGAAGGTGTGTCCTAGGTCCCATCTGTAGGAAGCCAGGTCCCTTCCCCAGCTCCTCTACCCTACCCCCCTGGAGTTACTTACTCCCCTCCCCTCCCCTCCCCTCCCCTCCCTCTTTAGTTATTGCTGTGCGTGTGAAGGAAGAGCATGTAGATTTGGCCTCACCCAACAAGGCTTCAAGTCCAGAGCTGCCTGTCCCCGTCGAGAACATTAAGCAGGAAACAGACAACTGAGCCCTCCTGCCAGCAGCCTGGCTCCTAGCTGGGAAGCCAGCCTTGGGGTTTCTCCACCACCACCACTGAGCCTCTGCATGTGTAAATTTTGCCTGGTGCTGTGAAGGCTGGACAGTGGAGGACCTGCTGGGGTCTCCTGGGACCTGCCTGTTACCTCTGCGATCCCCTGTGGAAAGGCCTAGGTGACTGGGGCTGCCTGAGGTCTTCTGCGAACCACCTCCAGCCAGAGTTCCTGACGCTGGACTGTCAGCTGCCCAGGTGCCTGCTTTTCCTTAAGATGACCTTCCCACCACAGCCCTTAGTTCCCAGGTTGGGGCCACCCCTGGCACACTGGAAGACAAGACAGTGCACTCTGTGTCTACCCAAACGACTCATGTAAATTAAGTTCTAGAGCAGCTCTCTGAGCAGAATAAGGTCCCCTGACAGTGAGTCGTGATGGGAGCAGCCTCTGCCTCAAAAATTCACCAAGCAGAATGCCTCTCAGCCTCATGTGTTGGTCCTCTGCCCCTCCTAAGCTCCCCAGGGATGTTGGGAACCCAGCTTGGCAGCTGAGAAGCAGTGACCAGGATGTGGATTTTGGTGACCCATGTGGTGGCCTTGAGCTGTTTGCTCTGCTCGCATGAGTGTGGACTCCCATTTCCTAAAGGAAATGCCCCAGGAAGGACAGTGGGAGGAAGATGACCTGAGGGTGCACCCTGGCTCTGCTCCTGGACCCCTGCTAAAAGTCATTCATCCAAGAATGCCTTGTAGTTAAAGGATCCAGTTCCAACTGGAGCCTCTGGGAGAGCTGGGCATGTATGCTGTCTTGGCCTTGTGTCCCTACCGGTATGAAGATGCCATGAACACAGGGCTCTCAGGACCAGGTGACAGAGCTGGAGGACACATCTGGCTGCCACTGCAGCCTCACTGGGCTCCCCAGACTTTGTATATGAAAAATTAAATCCCCTACTTGCCTGAGTCCAGTTTGTTAGATTTCTGTTCCTTGCACAGTGTTGTGACCCACCACCTCATGGTGGTATGGATTATGAAGGCCACAAGTCAAGACACGAGTTTGCGAGGCCATAAAGAATGTCAGCAGGCATGGTCAGTGGCTCATACCTGTAATCCCAGCACTTTGGGAGGCCAAGGTGGGTGGATTACCTGAGGTTGGGATTTTGAGACCAGCCTGACCAACATGGAGAAACCTCATCTCTCCTAAAAATACAAAAAAATTTAGCAGGCATGGTAGCGCATGCCTATAATCCCAGCTACTTGAGAGGCTGAGGCAGGAGAATCGCTTCAACCTGGGAGGCGGAGGTGGCGGTGAGCCAAGATTGTGCTACTGAACTCCAGCCTGGGCAATGAGAGCGAAACTCTGTCTCAAAAAAGAAAAAAAGCCAGGCGTGGTGGCTCAAGCCTGTAACCCCAGCACTTTGGGAGGCCGAGGCGGGTGGATCATGAGGTCAATAGATCGAGACCATCCTGGTCAACATGGTGAAACCCCGTCTCTACTAAAAATACAAAACAGCTGGGCATGGTGGCGCGTGCCTGTAATCCCAGCTACTCAGGAAGCTGAGGCAGGAGAATTGCCTGACCCCAGGAGGCGGAGGTTGCGGTCAGCCAAGCTCATGCCATTGCACCCCAGCCTGGGTAGCAAGAGCGAAACTCCGTCTCAAAAAAAAAAAAAAATGTCACCTGTCATCAGTTCAAGTTCCCTGTCTTAACCACATGCTGTCCTTATTTACGGTTCTGCCATTCTCCCCAAAGACTGAGTTCCCCAGAGATGGAGCCTTTGCCTGTCCCTAGTGCCTGGCACTTTGGCATCAAGGTGGCCTTGAGTTTGTGTAAAGTGGGAATGTGCACGTGACCATGTGTTTCTGGCACCTAGAGGTCAACTTGATTTGCCGGAGATGGACTATTGATCTCTTGAAAATTTTGCTCAATGCACACGGCAACCTTGTGCCTCAGTTTGCCCTTGGAGGGAAGTAAAATTCTTGGAGCTGCAGCAATGAGGCTGCTGGCAGGGAGCCGTCTTGCAAATTCCTCATCCTTGCTTCTCCTGCCTAAGGACCCACAGGGGTTCCTGTTACAGGTAAGACCAAATCCAGATGATTTAAGAACCTACTCTGCATCCCTGGTCCTTTATAGTCAGCCTTCGGCTCCAGGGAAAGGAAAGCTAAGGGAGCTCCATTGTACCAAGAGTCCCTACCCAGGTGCCCGCTTAAATACATATCTAGGCTAGGCGCAGTCACTCATGCCAGTAATCCCACCACTTTGGGAGGCCAAGGCGGGCAGATCACCTGAGGTCAGGAGTTTGAGACCAGCCTGGCCAACATGGTGAAACCCCATCTTAACTAAAAATATAGAAATCAGCCGGGTGTGGTGGCAGGTGCCCGTAATCCCAGCTACTCAGGAGGCTGAGGCACAAGAATTGCTTGAACCTGGGTGGGGGGAGGTTGCAGTGAGCCGAGATCACACCACTGCACTCCAGCCTGGGTGACAGAGTGAAACTTTGTCTCTAAATAAGTATCTAAATGGCTCGTTTCACCATCACAGTAACCCTGTGTGGTACTGATGACAAAAAGGAAGGCTCAGCTAGGTGCAGTGGCTCACACCTGCAATCCCAACACTTTGGGAGGCCGAGGTGGGCGGATCACAAGGTCAAGAGATCGAGACCATCCTGGCCAACATGGCAAAACCCCCCCACCTCTACTAAAATACAAAAATTAGCTGGGCGTGGTGGTGTGTGCCTGTAGTCCCAGCTACTTGGGAGGCTGAGGCAGGATAATTGCTTGAACCTGGGAGGCGAGGTTGCAGTGAGCCGAGATCACGCCACTGCACTCTAGCCTGGCGCCTAGCGACAGCAACACTCTGTCTCAAAAAAAAAAAAAAAAAAAAAAAAAAGGAAGGCTCAGTACAGTTTAGTGACTTGGCTGCTTAAATTTATATGTGTTAAGGATGGCAGTGGGGTTGAACCCAGGTTTTTCTGCTGGATGACCTAGTGAGTCATTCAGCCTTCCTGAGCATATTCTGGGTGCCAGGCACCAAGCTAGGCACAGGCATTGAGGGAGACTGTGGCAGATGTCTAGCCTGGTGCCTTCAGCAGGCAAGCAGCTCCAGCCCAGAACACTGCCAGCGCATGAGCCTCAAAATAAGAGCCCTCTGCTGCCGGGACTGGTGGCTCATGCCTGTAATCCCAGCACTTTGGGAGGCCAAAGTGGGCGGATCACAAGATCTGGCTAACATGGTGAAACCCTGTCTCTACTAAAAATACAAAAAGTTAGTCAGGTGTGGTGGCGTGTGCCTGCAATCCCACCTACTCAGGAGGCTGAGGCAGGAGAATTGCTTGAACCAGGGAGGCAGAGGTTGCAGTGAGCTGAGATCTCACCCCTGCACTTCAGCCTGGGCAACAGAGCAAGACTCCATCTTAAAAAAATAAAAGCCCTCTGCCTTGAGTTCCTTCATATTCCTGGGAGGAAACTGCTATTTCATCAGAATAACCCACAATACTAAGAGGAAGCCAGGCTCAGTGGCTCTCACCTGTAACCCCAGCACTTTGGGAGGCTGAGGCAGGTAGATCACCTGAGGTCAGGAGTTTGAGACCAGCCTGACCAACATGGTAAAACCGTGTCTCTACTAAAAATACAAACATCAGCTAGGTGTGGTGGCACTCCCTATAATCTTAGCTACTTGGGAGGCTGAGTTAGGAAACTTGGCTTGAACTCTGGAGGCAGAGGTTCCAGTGAGCTGAGATCGTACAACTTCACTCCAGCCTGGGCGACAGAGCGAGACTCTATCTCAAAAAAAAAACAAAAAATAAAAAAATGGGCGTGGTGGCTCACGCCTATAATCCCAGCACTTTGGGAGGTTGAGGCGGGTGGATCACAAGGTCAAGAGATCGAGACCATCCTGGTCAACAAGGTGAAACCCCGTCTCTACTAAAAAATACAAAAATTAGCTGGGCATGGTGGTGCGCGCCTGTAGTCCCAGCTACTTGGGAGGTTGAGGCAGGAGAATTGCCTGAAACCAGGAGGCAGAGGTTACGGTGAGCTGAGATCGTGCCATTTGCACTCCAATCTGGGTAATGAGTGAAACTCCGTCTCAAAAACAAACAAACAAAAAAAACTGAAAGGAGTATCTCCGTGTCAGAAGGGGTGGCTAGGTCAAATGGCTTGAGAGGTCCTGATTCCAAAGCCACTATGCCGTGTGGGGGGGTGGGGACCTGGGGTGTCTTCCCCTTTTAACTGAAGCCCTGACCTGGAAGGAGCTTCCACTCCTGAGCCCAGCTCAGCTTCCACATGTGCATCCCTGGGGCCGACGCAGGGAGAAATGACTGCTGCTGTTCCCTAGTCACGCCACATGACTGCCACCTGAGATCAGCGCTGCTGTCATCATGCTAGTTCTGGGTCTGGCTTCTAAGGCAGAACTGGCTCACCTTCAGCTTGGGGTCTTTTTAGGGGTTCCTTCCCAGCTCCCACCCGGAGATCAGGAACACTTTATGGACTAAATTGTGCCCATCCCAGCAAGACAGTTTGAAGCCCTAACCCCAGTACCTCAGAGTATGTATGACTTGGATATAGATTCCTTCTAGAATATAAACACCACTAATGGCCCCAGGGCCCCCAGATTTTCAAAATGCAGATCCAGGGGAGGCAGAGCCCTCTCCCCACCTTCCCAGGCCCCACTCTATTCTCATTTTCCCTTGAAGGAGGCAGAGACAGTGATGCACCTGCACTTCTACGCTCCCATCCCTGGGATCCTGGGCTGAGGGAGGCCGCTTAGGTCAGGCTGGGACATGGTTGAGTCAACAGTGATCTAGCAGATATGGAAACAGCAGGACTGATTTTAGGGACACATCTGGACCAGCACACTGTGGCTTATAGGAAAGGCCACTGTCTCACAGCAGGAGCAAAGGGTCATTTCCTTGCAAACCCATCCTGGTGGGGGTGGGGAAGACGGGAGGGTAAGCGTTATTGAACTCACGCAACCAGGTCATTACCCAGCTCTGGAACATGAATTGGAACCAAGCCAAGTCAGGCTCCAGCTTCCTGGGGACTTTGGAACCTGGCCTACCACCCACCAGAGCCTCACCCCTCCTGCCCCATGGCCAACCTTATCTGCTCCCCGCTGCCTTCCTTTGGTGGGGGTTGTCCTGGCGCTGGGCCCAGAGGCTGGTGTCTGCTTGGCCTTCCTGGCAGCCCAGCCCCGGCAGGCTTCAAAGACAGCAGCTGCAGTCTTCACCCTCTGGCCATGGGCACTGGGAGGGGTGGCACAGGTGGCCCCCACCCTCAGGTTCAACCCAGTAAGCCACCTGAAGAGAAGAGAGAGCTGGGAAGCTGGCTGTTCTGACTGCCGAGAGCTTTCCTGAGGAGGTGAAGGAGGCCACAGGAACTTGGGAGCAGTGGGTCCTATGGGTGACAGCAGCCTCTGCTGAAAATCTTGGTGGCTCACCAATTATGTGACCTACAAGTCACTTCAAGCCTCCAATCCCTTCCTTGTAAAAAGGGGATAATAGGCTGGGCGCGGTGGCTCACATCTGTAATCCCAGCACTTTGGGAGGCTGAGGCAAGCAGATCACAAGGTCAAGAGAGTGAGACCATCCTGGCCAACACGGTGAAACTCCATCTCTACTAAAAATACAAAAATTAGCTGGGCATGGTGGTGGGCACCTGTAGTCCCAGCTACTTGGGAGGGTGAGGCAGGATAATCACTTGAACTTGGGAGGTGAAGGTTGCAGTGAGCTGAGATCAGGCCACTGCACTCCAACCTGGTGACAGAACAAGATTCCATCTCAAAAAAAAAAAAAAAAGCAGGGCAGGTGGGATAATAATAGCAATGATAAACAGTTAGGGGGCTTACAACGTACCAGACACTGTTCAAATCAATTTATGTATGCTAATTTCATTCTCACATCATCATGAGGTTAGCTACTACAGCCCCCTTTTTACAGATGGGCACCTTTTTACAGATGGTTATATGACTTGTAGAATTAGTTGGTAAAATGGCAGAGTCAGGACTAGAGCCCAGGTCGGCAAGGCTCCAATTTATTTTTGGGATGGGAATCTCACTCTGTCACGAAGGCTGGTGTGCAGTGGCACGACCTTGGCTCACTGCAACCTCCACCTCCCAGGTTCAGGCGATTCTCCTACCTCAGCCTCCCAAGTAGCTGGGATTACAGGCATGCACCACCACGCCTGGCTAATTTTTGTATTTTTAGTAGAGACAGGGTTTCACCATGTTGGCCAGGCTGGTCTCTAACTCCTGACCTCAGGTGATCCACCCGCTTCTACCTCCCAAAGTGCTGGGATTACAGGCATGAGCCACCACGCCTGGCCTCTTGTGACTTTCTTATATAATTATGTAAAGTGGCCTCACCCATGTATTAGATCCCAGCCCACTAGGCAGAGCAGATACCATGCCTACTTTATGGATGATGGAATCAAGGCGCAGAGAAGTCCACCCCCAACCTCCCTAGAAAAGGTAACTGACCCTGGAAACGGTTCATACATGTCTGGCTCTGGCAGGACCTGCCCTTCCCCCCAAGCTGCTCATCGGGGAGATGATGGGGACTTGACTGAGAGCAGCTGGGTGGTCTTTGGCTGGGGGTCTAGGTTGGGGTGCTCACCTGTGCAGCGGGAGCAGCTGGCAGTCACAGTGGAAGGGATTGCCGCTGAGGTCCATGAGTTCCAGCTGGCTGAGACTGGGCAAGGCAGGCAGGGTCTGAAGCTGGTTCTTCTGCAGGTGCAGGCTCTGGAGCCCCGGCCCTAGGCCTAAAAAGGCCCCAGGAGAAATCTGCAAGGAGTTGTCAGGGCCAGATGTGAGCTCCTGGCAGACCTCTCCCACCCCCGGGTCTGGGAGGAGCCCCATCTTCCCTCAGCAAAGAGAAGTTGGAGAGCCCAGGGTGATCCAGCCAGGAAGTATAGAGCGGGGCCGAAGCCCAGGCCGGTCTGATGTCAAAGCCCTTGCTCTGTCCAAGTCACCCAGGTGCCCAGTTCATGGTCCACCCCACCACCCAATAATGACAGATCCTCTTGGGGGCTCTCAATATGTACAAACAGTAGATGACCCCATGGTTCCAAATTCCTTCCTCCTCTATGCTCCAGCAATGCCCTCTTGTGCAGGCACTGTGTGGCCTGGGTTCTGCCTGGACTGTCACTCACAGCGGCAGGGGCAGCCCTGGTTTATCTCAGGGTCTCCATGCCCAGCCTGAGACCTGGCACCAAGGGGCCGGCAAATGCCTGTTGAGCCAATGCACGCTGCGGATGGCCTTGTGCTGCCTCCTGCACCAACCCTGCCACACACCCAGTGCCCACCTGCTCCAGGCCACTGCTGTTCAGGAAGAGGTGCTGCAGCGATCTGCTCACAGGCTGGAAGGCCCCGTCGTGCAAGGCCCTGAGTGGGTTGCCTGAGAGTTGCAGCTCCAGGAGGCCAGGCAGCCCCTCCAAGGCCCCAGTGGGCACCTCTCGCAGCTGATTCCTGTCCAGGTGCAGCTTCTCCAGCTCCCGAGCTGGGCCCAGCGCCCCGGGAGACACTTGGGTGATGCGGTTTCCACTCAGGTAGAGCCAGCGCAAGGCCCGTGTTCCCCCGAGGTCCCCGGGTGCCAGGCGGTCCACAGCGTTGTCCTGCAGGTGCAGGGAGAAGAGACTGGGCAGGGCACGCAGGGCAGCCCCCGGCACCTGCAGGAAGCGGTTGTGCTCCAGGTACAGGTAGCCAAGGCGGGGCGCCCCTTCGAGGGCAGCAGCGCTGAGGCCTGCGAGCTGGTTGTCGGAGAGGTACAGATATATCAGGCGGCCCAGCCCCGCCAGGGCGCCCGCCTCCAGCTCTGTGATGCCGCAGTGCTGCAGGTGCAGCGACACCAGGAGGCCCAGGCCGGAGAAGACCTCTCGGGGCACCGAGGGGAAGTGGTTCCGCCTCAGGTCCAGGAGCTGGGTATCGTTGGGGAAGCCGCGGGGCACCGCCTGCAGGCCGCAGCCCTCGCAACTGCTATGCCGGGACTCGGGGGCGCACACGCAGGCGCCAGGACAGGGCACAACCGCCTGCTCCTCCTCCCCGGGGCCGCGCGGAGGGGCGCGGGGTCCGGCCCCAGCCCGCTCCTCCCGCTCTTCCTCTTCCTGCGCCGCATCTCCCGGGCAGCGCAGGTCCCAGGGCCGCAGGGCGTCCAGAGCTTCGCCCCGCAGGCGCCGCGGTCCCCGGCACTCGCCGTCGGAGCGCACGCGCGCCCGCACCAGCCACTCCAGTAGGGGCCGCGCCTGGCAGCCGCACCACAGCGGGTTCCCCTGCAGTCTCAGCCGGCGCAGCTGGCCCGGGCCCTGCAGCGGGGGCAGGGTGTCCAGCTGGTTCCCGCGGAGGTCCACGGTGTGCAGGCGCGGGCAGTGCGCGAAGGCCCTGGGACCCAGGGCCTGCAGGGCCCCGCCGTCCAGCAGCAGCTCCCGCAGGCCGGGTAGCACCAGCCCGTCCTCCTCGCCGGCGTAGGTGAGCGGGTTGTAGCCCAGCTCCAGACGGGCCAGGCCGCGGGCCTGGGATAAGGCGGGCCCGGGCAGGGCCTGGAGCTCATTGTGGTGCAGGCTGAGCCGGCGCAGGGTGGACAGGCCAGCCAGGGCCTCGGGGGCCAGCACGCTGAGCGCATTGTGTGACAGCCGCAGCCAGCGGACGCGCAGCAGCCCCTGGAAAGCCATGGCGGGCAGGTAGACCAGGGCGTTGTGGGCCAGGTTCAGCGTGGCCAGCGCGCCCAGCGCCCAGAATGTCCCCGGCCGCAGCTCCTCCAGCGCGTTCCTCTCCAGCTCCAAACGCCGCAGCGAGCCCAGCCCGTCCAGCGCCTCCTGGGGCAGTGCGCGCAGGTGGTTGGAGGCCAGGTTGAGCAGGAGCAGGCGGCCCAGGCCACGGAAGGCACCCTCAGCCACCACCTCCACCTGGCAGTGACGCAGGTCCAGGTGTGTGAGGTGGGGCAGACCCTGGAAGGCGGCTGCGGGGATCACCTTCAGCAAGTTGCCCTGCAGGTCCAGCCGCTGGGTCAGCTGGGGGCGACCAGGGGAAAGCGGGGCTGAGCCGGGCAGGGACCTCGCCTTTGCAAGTGCTGCCCTTTCCCCAACACTCTTCTCTCCCATCACCTTTTCCATATTTCTCATCATCCAAACCCTGACACCTCCTCCAGGAAGCCTTCCTCTCCAGTGCCCTGGGCATCCCCCACTGTGGAACTTTTCACACTGTGCTGTCACTGCCTCCTTGCTGTTTCTCCCCCACTAGCTGACGACTCCGCTGGGCAGAGACCACACCTCACCCTGCCACAGCCCTGTCTCTCCACCACAGGGTCTGCAGTGGATTCAGGATGGATCTATTGGTCACCTACTTATTCCATTCACACAGTAGGGATTTTAAATAGATCATCTCCCTGTTACTGGTTTTTATTATTCCCATTTTACAGATGTGTAAACCGAGGCTCAAAGCTTGCCAAGGTCTCCCAGCCAGGCAATGGCAGATCAGCTGGTGTCCAGCGCAGGCTCCTCCCTCTGCCCCACTGCCACTCTGTGCCTGTGCTCCCCGCTGCTGACCTCAGGGATGGTGTCTGGCACCTCGGTGAGGTTCTGGTACCGGCAGGCAACGTGCCGCCTGGAGTTGTCACAGATGCAGGCCTGTGGGCAGCGCTGGGCAGCTGCCTGCCTAGCTGAGCCCAGCAACAGCAGGACCAGCAGCAGCAGCACCAAGGAGACATGGGTGGAGCTCTGGGGCCTGGGAGGGGGAGGGAGAGCCTGTTGTACGCAGAAGCAGGGGCCACACGCTGTCCCTCACTTAGTCCCAGCCCCGAAGCACCTCCTACCCTGAAAACCCCTCAGAACCTCCTCCTTTGGGTCCAGGAAAGTGCCCATCGCCCTGAGCCTCCCTGCCCCCACCCCCACACAGTGGAGGTCCTATGTAGTCCTGTTTTACATGGGAGGAAACTGAAACCGAGGCTCAGAAAAGTGACCTAGTGAGTCCCCTTGCCTCTCTACCCAATGGCTCAGTGAGGACTCACTGAGAATGACTCCAGTTCAGAGCCTGCTCTGGGGCTGTGGTGAGGCTCCAGTCCAGGATAGGTTCAGAAGCAGCCTGTCCTCAGACTGATATGATGCCAGCTCCCAGGGAGCAGGAGCATGATGCCCACCAGAGGGGAGGGAGGCATCCAGCCCAGCCCTTGAGCCTGAGCCTTTTTTTTTTTTTAAAGAGACAAGCCTTGCTCTGTTGCCCAGGTTGGAGTCTGGAGTACAGTGGAATGATTATGGCTTACTGCAGCCTTGACCTCCTGGGCTAAAGTGATCCTCTCACTTCAGCCTCTAGAGTAGCTGGGAATACAGGCACGTAGTGATGCCCAGCTAAATTTAAAATTTTTTTTTGGTAGAGACAGGCTCTCGCTATGTTGCCCAACTGGTCTTGAACTCCCGGCCTCAAGTGATTGTCCCACCTTGGCCTCCCAAAGCACTAGGATGATAGGCTCACCTCACCCACCTAGCTGGCCCTCTTTTCTCCGCCTGTGTCAGGCACATCCTCTCCCCATCCCTGGGCTGGTCCCTGGCCCCCAGGAGCCTCCCTCTCTGTTCACTGGACTATTGCTGTCTGCTTTTGAGTCTCCTTTGGGTACCAGGCTCCAGCCCCTGCCTTGGAGTTGGTGGCTTCTCCAGAGCCTGTGGTGAAGGCTGTGCCCCAGGGTAGGCCAGAGAGGGGACCCATGGGGACAGATCCCCGAAGGGACAAGCATCCAGGATGCAGGGGCTGCTGCTGGGCTCTCAGACAAGCCCCGGAGAACCAGTCCCCAGCAGCAGCCACATTCCCACATGTCTCAGAACCCACCTTTGGAGACCCCTAGAGAATCCCAGGAAGTCCTCACAGCCCCTGCCCGCCAGCCTCTCAAGGCCCAGAGATGGGCAGAGACTCACCTGAAGCTGCTCAGCTGCTCTGAACCCCTCTTGCACCCTTGGGCCCAAAGACTTACCCCTCCATGCCGCCTAAAACTGCCGGTCCAGCCTGGAGGCACAGAGCAGGAAAGGCCGTCCCTGCCTGGCGGGAGCCCCCTCTGTAGCCCACAGGCCTGGCAGCTGGGAACGGGCTGAATGGGAGGCATTGTTGGCGGCCCAGGCGAGCCGGGCTTCCCCAGGCTGAGATGAAGGAGGGGCGGGTGGTGGGTGGGAGCAGTGGCTGGAATTACAGTGTCTCCTGCCTGCCCCGGCCCAGGATGAAGGCCCAGGCCTGAGTCCTTGGGCCTGCCAGACAGGGAGGGGACACGGGCAGCTGGCCGGGGAGTAAGCAGTCCTGGGCTCCCTCCTGCCATGCGGGCTGCCCTCCCAGAGGCTGTTTCCTAGTCTCTGAAAAACACATCCTATTAATAAGTAGCTCTAGGGTCACAGTGAGGGTTGAGGCCTGCCCCTGGCACACAGTGGGTGCTTAAGGACAGGGGACCCTTTCCATCTGTTTGTGCTTATGCATTTACATACATTGTTTAATACTGGACATACAGGATTCTAGAAATCCACTTATCTTTATTTTTAATTTTTATTAGACTCTTGCTGGCATGATCTCGGCTCACTGCAACCTCCACCTCCTGGGTTCAAGCAATTCTCCTGCCTCAGTCTCCCAAGTAGCTGGGATTACAGGTGTGTGTGTGCCACCACACCCAGCTAATTTTGTATTTTTAGTAGACACAGAGTTTCACCATGTTGGTCAGGCTGGTCTCGAACTCCTGACCTTGTGATCCACCCACCTCGGCCTTCCAAAGTGCTGGGATTACAGGCGTGAGCCACCGAGCCCGGTCAACTTTTTTTTTTGAGACAGAGTTTTGCTCTTGTTGCCCAGGCTGGAGTGCAATGGCGCCATGTTGGCTCACCACAACCTCCACCTCCTGGGTTCAAACGATTCTCCTGCCTCAGCCTCCTGAGTAGCTATGATTACAGGTGTGCACCAGCATGACTGGCTAATGTTTTTGGTATTTTTAGTAGAGACAGGGTATCTCTGTTGGTCAGGCTGGTCTTGAACTCCCGACCTCATGTGATCCGCCCACCTCGGCCTCCCAAAGTGCTGGAATTACAGGCGTGAGCCACTGCCCAGCCAACATTCTTTTTTTTTCACTTAACCTCAGATTACTGGGCATTATCCAAGTTGATTTTTCTGAATCTCATATATTCTGTGGTATAGTATTCCACTGTATAAATGTATCACATTTGACTTACCCATTCCTCTTGGACATTGGCTCTGATTTTTTGCTGTTTACAAATAATATTGCAAAGAATATCGAAATACGAATCTTTCCAGGCATATGTTTGCTTTTTTTTTTTTTTTGAGATGGAGTTTCACTGTTGTTACCCAGACTGGAGTGCAATGGCATGATCTCGGCTCACCGCAACCTCCGCCTTCTGGGTTCAAGCAATTCTGCTGCCTCAGCCTCCTGAGTAGCTGGGACTACAGGCGCACACCACCATGCCCAGCTAATTTTTGTATTTTTTTAGTAGAGACGGGGTTTCACCTTGTTGACCAGGATGGTCTCGATCTCTTGACCTTGTGATCCACCCGCCTCGGCCTCCCAAAGTGCTGCGATTATAGGCGTGAAGAACCGCGCCCTGCTGTTTGCTTTTTAAATACATCCAGCCTGTGGCCAATGTTTATGTATCTTACCATTTTCCAAATCTGTTTCTGATGGAATTGCATCTTCCATTACTGTGTCCTTTAATTGCAAATAGGGGCTAGGCACAGGTGGCCACCACACCCGATCTCATCTGTTTTAAAAAATGGTTTTATTGGGCTGGGCGCAGTGGCTCACGCCTGTAATCCCAGCACTTTGGGAGGCGAGGTGGGTGGATCACAAGGTCAAGAGATAGAGACCATCCTGGTCAACATGGTGAAACCCCATCTCTACTAAAAATACAAAAAATTAGCTGGGCATGGTGGCGCGTGCCTATAATCCCAGCTACTCAGGAGGCTGACGCAGAAGAATTGCCTGAACCCAGGAGGCGGAGGTTGCGGTGAGCCGAGATGGCGCCATTGCACTCCATCTCAAAAAAAAAAAAGGTTTTATTTTTTAAAAATATAGCATTCCAGCCTTCCATTCCATAAATATATGACAACAATGGCATGGGGCAGGGGCAGGAGGCTGTCTGCCCACTATGCAGGCAATAAATGGGTGTGCTGTCAATGGAGAAGTAAAATACAACAGAACCAACTTAAAGTCCGTCTTTTTTTATTGTCATGTGCTGGCAAGTCTAAACAATGTCAATGCTAAAATATTTCTTCTTGGGCAGACCATTCCCGCCTTCTTGGTACCTCACCATACCACAAGTAGTTTACCCATTTCACTAGTGATGGCCACTGGGTTGTTTCCAGCATGGGTTTATGAGGAAGAGCACTGTAGCTGGGCATGGTGGTTCATGCCTATTAAGTGAGCTAAGGGGGGAGGATCACCTGAGCCCAAGAGTTTGAGACCAGCCTAGGCAAAACACAGTGAGTCCATGTCTTAAAAAAAAAAAAGAAAAAAAAAAGCAGAACATGGTGGTGTATGACATGGTCCCAGCTACTCAGGAGGCTGGGGCGGGAGGACTGGGTGCCCAGGAGTTGGAGGCTGCAGTGAGCTGTGCTTGCACCACAGCACTCCAGCCTGGGTGACACAGCAAGACCCTCTCTCAAAAAAGTTGTACCAATTTATACATCCACCAGCCACTCCAGATGCCCCAAATCCTCACCAAGCTTGGTACTGTCTTTTGGATTTTAGCCACTCTAGTGAGGGTAGAAGAGTGTTGCATGGTGACTGTAATGTTTCTCTGAAGACTAAATTAGAGCACCTTTTCACATGCTTTTTGTAAAGTGCCCATTTGAGCTTTTTGCTTTTTCCTACTGCCTTTTATTTATAGAAATTTTCCCAACCTAGGCAACATGGCAACACTCCATCTCTACTAAAAATACAAACCATTAGCCAGGTGTGGTGGCGCGTGCCTAAGGTCCCAGCTACTTGGGAGGCTGGGGCGGAAGGATCACCTGAGCCAGGGAGATTGGCTGCAGTGAGATAGAAGCTGGACAAGAGACCCTGTTTAAAAAAAAAAAAAAATTAAAATGATCTATCCCACCTCTGTCTCGATTCCTTCCTGTCTATAAATTGTCTTTGTACTCCTTAAGGATATGTTTGATAAACAGAAACGTTCTCACTGCTACATCATTTCCATTGTGTGAACAGCCCACAGTAACAACAAACAAAGGAGGTTAAATACAGCTTAATTTATTCATCTTTTCCTTACTCCTAAAGCCTTGAAGATACTCGCCTACACTATCTACTACAGACTCTATATCTTTTGAGACAGGGGCTCACTCTGTCACTCATGCTGTCAATCACCACTCGCTGCAGCCACGACTTCCTGGGCTCAGGTGATCCTCCCACCTCAGCCTCCCAAGTAGCTGGGACAACAGGCCTGCATCACCACACACAGCTGAAGCTCTATAATTTTGCTTAATTTTTTTTTTTTTTTGAGATGGAGTTTCGCTCGTTACCCAGGCTGGAGTACAATGGCGCGATCCCAGCTCACCGCAACCTCTGCCTCCTGGGTTCAGGCAATATTCTCCTGCCTCAGCCTCCTCAGTAGCTGGGATCACAGGCACGCGCCACCATGCCCACCTAATTTTTTGTATTTTTAGTACAGACGGGGTTTCACCATGTTGAACAGGATGATCTCAATCTCTTGGCCTCGTGATCCACCCACCTCGGCCTTACAAAGTGCTGGGATTACAGGCATGAGCCACCACGCCCGGCCTAATTTTTTTAAACTGAAGTAAAATATATTAATACAAAAAATTTATCATTTTAACTTTTTTTTTTTTTTTTGAGATGGAGTTTTGCTCTTGTTACCCAGGCTGGAGTACAATTGTGTGAACTTGGCTCACTGCAACCTCCACCTCCCTGGTTGAAGCAATTCTCCTGCCTCAGCCTCCCAAGTAGCCGAGACTACAGGCATGTGCCACCACACCCAGTTAACTTTTGTATTTTTAGTAGAGACGGAGTTTCACCATGTTGGCCAGGATGGTCTCAATCTCTTGACCTCGTTATCCACCTGCCTTGGCTTCTCAAGGTGCTGAGAATACAGACATGAGCCACCGCGCCTGGCTGTGTCTGGTTTATTTCATTTAACATGTTTTCAAAGTTCATCCATGTTCTAGCATATGTCAGAACTTATGCCAGCTCTGCACCCACCTTCTGCTCTATCAACTCACATGAAGGGCAGGGGGCAGGGCCAGGCCTATCCCCTGCTACCTGGACACCTAGGTGGTCCACTGCCAATGAGAAAATATTGCCCCCCAGCATGGTGAGGGAGGCTGAGGTAGGCAGATCACAAGGTCAAGAGATGAAGACCATCCTGGCCAACATGGTGAAACCCCATCTCTACTAAAAAATAAAAAAAATTAGCTGGGCATGGTGGCGCAAGCCTATAGTCCCAGCTTCTCAGGAGGCTGAGGCAGGAGAACAGCTTGTACCCAGGAGTCAGAAGTTGCAGTGAGCTGAGAGTTGTGCCACTGCACTGCAGCCTGGTGACAGAGCAAGAGTCCATCTAAAAATATATATATCCCCCTAGGAAACTTTGGAGGAAGCTCTTCTTGGAGGCCATTTGTTGGGGACATGGGCTCCCCAAGTGTGCACATGGTGTAGGGTAGGAGGTAAGAAAGGTCGGGGCTGTCCTCACATATGTGGCAGTGAAGCAAAGGACCCCAAGGGAGATGGCTTCCATAATGACGGAGCAAGGAGCCAAGTGAGCTGCAGCCCAATGGCAGGATGCTGGATGAGGTGTGGCCAGGCAGAAAAACAGGCCCCCACTCAGGACCACCACTACCCAGGTGGTGACCTGAGGCCGGGGCCGGGACTTTCTGCAGGGCTGACTGACCCATAGACTGCTGCAGAGTCGTGGGCTCTGCCAAATTGGGACTCCACGTATGGTGCCCCCGAGACTATCCCACTTTAGGTGAGAGTTTCCGAGTCTCTGCAGCTGCCACATGTGACTTTATTTGTGAAGCCCCTGGGCACAGCCCAGACAGACACAGAGCACAAAGGGGAAAGCATGGGGCGGTCATGGGCACTCAGGAAGGTCGCAGGGCATCTGCCTAGTCCAGTCCCCACCGCTCCCCTGCCCATGAGGTCCTCTAAGAGCAACGTCCAGATGCAGCTTGGGCATTGGGGGCCCTGCCCCTCCCTCCCCAGACTGAAGAACAGCTTTGGGTTGCCAATGTGTCCCTTCCAGCTTGGCCCCCTGGCCAGTCACAGACGACATCTCAGCAGCCAGGAGAGGGCCCAGTAGGTCCAGGGCCAGCTCAGTCCCAGCAGCTTCTGCTCCTGGACAATGTGGTGTCTGTCAGTCCACACAGTGTGGGGCCCAGGGTTGCCCTCTGCCAACAACTGCATGGTCCCACTCCCACAGT